GCCCAACCTCCCACCCTCCACCCACCCCTTCTCCCATCCCCTAATACTCTTTCTCGCGCACCACTCCTACCTTAACCCTCGATCCCTTCCCTCCCTTTCTCTCCTCTGCACACCTACTCCACACACCCACATTCAATTCCCTCTCCCTATACATTCCACCAAAACCTTCAACACCTCCAGCCTGTGATCCTTCACACACAAGTGCAACCCACCCTCGCCTCCCTGAGTCAAAATCCGAGTCACCGCCAATCTGACTCGGCCACAACTGCAGCTCATTCCTTGATCACACCTAGATGTAGGGAGTGAACCCATCGCGATCCAACACCAAACCTAGATTTGGGTTGACCCGCACCAGATTTTTCACCATTGGTTTTCAATTTTTGAATTTGATGATGTTGAATTTCGTGGGTTTCTAATTTTGTATGGTTTGGGATGTGGTTTTTTTTTTATATAGTTTTGTGGTGGTGAAAAGAGAGTGGAAGTGCAAGAGTCGAAGAAGGAGGGGAAGCACTGGGTGCATAGGAGGGAGAAGGAAGAGGGTGGATGTGCAGAGTTGAAGAGGAAGAGGGAACACTGGGTGTGAAGGAAGAAAGACGATGCGTAAGCTCTCTTCCCAACTGTTCCACAAACGCAACAGGGTGGTGCCACAGAGTCGATGTTGTGGCGGATAAATTGGATTTGAAGAAGATGATTGAGGAGTTATAGTCCATTGAGATTCCTTCAGTGTTCATCTGCTCGATTTCATTAAAGCCAATGCAGAATCCCTCGATGTCGTTGTACTGCTCGGTGTTGTGGGACCAGCAGGCCTACCACGTTGTGACGGCCTCCTCCTTCGACCCCACAATCGCCATCCACGACTCTGAGAGAGAGAGAGAGAGAGAGGAGAGAGAGAAACCTGAGAGAGAGAGAGATAGAGAGAGAGAGAAACTTATGAGATAGAGAGAGGAAAGAAGAAAGAGGAGAGAAGAAAGGAGAGACGGGAGTGAGCGGTGGAGATGGAAGTTGGCATAGGCGAGGGAGGCAAGGGGCTTACCGTCACACCAATCAAGGGCGAGGAATCCGGCCTCTTTTCCAGTGGGGAAGACGAAGGGGGAAGGAAAAAGGGGTTCTGGTTTTTTAATTTTTTTAATGACACATGGCACCCAATTATTGTCCACATGGGCGCCACATCATCAGTTAACAACAAATTTAACAGTTTGACTAACGGATATGTGAGACTATCCCAAAATTAACACTTTAGGTATGACTCTGAGACGAAAAAAACTTGATGTACTAAATGTTGAAAACCACGAAATTTTAGGATAATAAACAGAGATTAACCCTTTAATTATCTTATTTTGGTCGCACCTGCATCATACAGTAGAATATCAAATGGCGCGAGGACCGTTGAGAAACTATGACTTCAAAAAAACTTCAGAGGTAGTGTAACTTCAAGTTGAAAATTAGAGTACACTACAATACTTTGTTAACTTAAAAGAAATATTGTAGAATTGCCAAGAAGGCTACATAACCCAACCACATCTTGCCAGATTTAAATAAAATAACAAATACAAACACTCTTATCTGTAGGAGCAAACAGAAACAAAACCTATACTTAACGAACAAGAAATTATAGTCCTTAGCATACAAGAAAACCAATAAAAATGACAACAATATTAATAAACTAATTTTCCAACAGTGCGGAGTACTCAAATATATATATAATAATCATGTATCTCAATAAGAACGGCAGCAAGTGGATATTTTTAGTACTGGAAGAAGATGCAGAAGAGTTCATTTTTTTTATATATGTAAGTAAGGCTGTTGACATTTACCCGAGTCTCTCAGACGGGGGTGTGTTTTCAGCCTTTCAGGTACTTGCATTGGGCATCACATGGGAGGGATTGGAAAAGACTGTATACCACGTCTGGATACCGCTCAAGCCAAGTCCTAATAGAACACTAATGGAAGCCAGCCAAGTCGAATTGCCATAAATGAATGCCATCAATTTCTTCCAATTGCTATTGTGGTATTTTTCTATCTCTGCTTCAACGTTGCCCTAAATCGCGTTGTTAGGCACCAAGTCAATGCCCATCTCCTTCAAGAGTTGAGCCACCTCCTCATCACTCCCAAGCAAGTTTAGAAGTATGCCCCTTTTCCTCATGTGCTTCACATCGTCTGCATGATCAATAAGCGAACTGAGGAAGCCTATGTAAGAGGTGACCTCGTAATCGTTTTGGAAATCAGTACACAGTTCGTAGGTTATATGTTCATGAACTGAAGCCGCATCGAGATATCTACTTGTATTTTAGGTAGATAAAGGAATCCACGGCATCCTTTAGACTTAAAATATAAGTCCCTCAATGAGGGACGCTCACTAAGCCTGAAATTGATCCCGGCTTTCCGATGCTCTTCTACGCTGCGGAATGATTTGGAACTGCCGTTACTTACGGATCTCAGACGCCCTCTAGGTTGTCCTACCATTGTTGTACGAAGGTGGTCGAGAAGATGAGTTCAAGTTTCCATGATTGGTATGCTCTGCTTCCGGGCTTGATCACCTCATGTCACACCTCGCATGTCGACAAAAATCTTGATTGAGCGCTTCAAGCCCTCATGGTTGTTGCTCGAGCTCATCAGCAACATGAGGAGTGGATAGGGGAGTTGGTTCTCTAGCAAGAACATGTCCTGTTCTGCAAATGCCGCTTGGTCTCTCTTGATGTTAAAATCTTCCAACTTCGTATATATGTATATATGAATTCCAACATCGAACACCCATCAACGAACAGCATCCTCGCGAGGGCCCATCATCGTAGTCCTTTGTTGCTTCCTCATCATAGCACTGCCTTAGCTCCTTGATGTTATCCTCAACCATCTTGAGCAAAGCTTCAACATCAACAATCACTACTACAAAAGGCCCTTATAGTGTCAGTTGTTGCGTCGGTTTAATATAATATAATGGCGCACAAGAGAGTTGCGACACCCACTGAACATAACGTCGGATTTACAAGGCCTGCGTCGCTTTGAAACCGACGTAAATAATTAATGTCGCTTATAACCGACACACATTTTAATAATTTTAAATCCTGAAGTCGCTTTAAATAAAACAGTGTCGCTTTTAAGCGACATAAACCATGGGTGTCGCATATAGAAGCGACACTAGTTGTTGTTTTTATATAATTTAAATCCTGTGTCGGTTCTGAGCGACATATATTTTATTTTTTTAAATATTTTGAAACCCGGTGTCGATTGTAAGCGACAAATTAATAGTCCTTATATACCCCCTCCCCCCCCCCCCCGGTGTTTTCTTCTTCTCTCTTGCATTTATTTCATTCTCACGATTTACGAAGCCTTCTTCTCTCTTTCACCATTGCAATTTCTTCTTCTCTTTCACCTAACCGAGTTCATTCTTCACAAAGGTAAGTTTTTCTTGCTTGTAATATTTTTATTTTCTCCTCTTATGTTTAATTTTTAGATACAATTTATTTTTATAGGGAATTTATTTGAGCTGGTTGAGTACATAAAGAATTGATCGACGACGGAATTCTTCTATAATTCAGGTTTCTATCACTAAATTCTTTAATTTTTAAATTGTATAATACACAAGTTTATTTATTTAAAAATTGTAATTTAAGTAGTTAGATAAATTTATACTATTTTTGTTAAATTAATTAATATTTAGGCGAATTAATTAATTTTTTCACTTGAATTGTTATGAGAAAATGGAATGAATATTATTTATAACCATTTATGTTAAATTAACAACATTAAATATAACATAAACTTATAATATTGAGTAATTTAAGAATATATTATGTTAAATTAAATTTTTTTGCACTCTAATTGTTATTTTAATTTGTTGTTATTTTGATAATTTTTTGTTGTTATTTACTAGAATGGATTAGATGAGAATAATTTGAATTGTTATGAGAAAATTGAATGAATAATATTTATAAGCATTTATAAACGAAATTAACAATATTAAATATAGCATAAACTTATAATATTGAGTAATATAAGAATATATTATTAATTTTTTTTGCACTCTAATTGTTATTTTAATTTGTTGTTATTTTGATAATTTTTTATTGTTATTTACTAGAATGGATTAGATGAGAATAATTTGAATGGTTATGAGAAAATGGAATGAATAATATTTATAAGCATTTATGTTAAATTAAAATTATTAAATATAATATAAACTTATAATATTTAGTAATATAAGAATATATTATGTTAAATAATTTATTTTTTTGCAATTTGAATTTTTATGAGAAAATGGAATGAATAATATTTATAAGCATTTATGTTAAATTAACAATATTAAATATAACATAAACTTATAATATTTAGTAATATAAAAATATATTATGTTAAATTAATTTTTTTTGCAATTTGAATGGTTATGAGAAAATGAAATGAATAATATTTATAAGCATTTATGTTAAATTAACAATATTAAATATAACATAAACTTATAATATTTAGTAATATAAAATTATATTATGTTAAATAATTTTTTTTTGCAATTTGAATGGTTATGAGAAAATGAAATGATTAATATTTATAAGCATTTATGTTAAATTAACAATATTAATATAATATAAACTTATGATTTTTAGTAATATAAGAATATATTATGTTAAATTAAATTTTTTTACAATTTGAATTGTTATGAGACAATGGAATGAATAATTTAAATAAGCATTTATGTTAAATTAACAATATTAAATATAACTTTTGCACTATAATTGTTATTTTAATTTATTGTTATTTTGATAACTTTTGGTTGTTATTTACTAGAATGGATTAGATGAGCATAATTTTGATAACTTTTTGTTGTTATTTTAATTTGTTTTTACTATAATAGGTGTTGAAAATTAAAAGATTGCAATCGTGATAGAGTTCGAGGGTTGAAAGATAGAAATTGAAAATTCTAATAGTTATGCCTACATGATAGGGAGTGCAAGATTGTAGGCATCTTAGTGTCAGCGTAATACTTTACCCTCGTAAACTGGTAAAATATGGACAAGAGTTGGTTGACGATACCCCGAAATTTTGAAGCGTATACAGCTGAAATTAATTTGTTTTTGGATCAAGCAGTTGCAAATGGTGTTGGTCCTGACAAGTTTAGATGTCCTTGCAAAAGATGTTGTAATCGATATTCTTTTGTTAGGAACACTATTATTGAACATCTCATATTGTATGATATGGATAAAGATTATAAAAATGCTTGCTGGCGACATCATGGCGAGCAAAACATTGGAGAGCAAAATGTGGCAATTGGAGAAGAAGAAACAGGAGATGAGGTGATTGGCATGCATGACTTTCTTATTGATGTATTTGTCCAACCATTAACAGAAGAATGTGTTGGGCCGTCTACTGAACCGTCTATTGGGGAAGGGCGTCCAGAAGAGGTGGAGACTTTTTTTAGGTTGCTTGAAGAGGCAGATCAAGATTTGTGGCCAGGGTGTAAGGAGTTTAAGAAATTAGAAGCAGTTGTCAGACTATATCAGATCAAGTGTTTAGCGGGAATGCCAGACGAGATCTTCACAACTTTATTGGAGTTAATTAAAAGAATGTTGCCTGAAGGGGATTGTTTACCTGAATCTTGTTATAAGGCAAAAAAGCTTATAAATGACTTGGGTCTGACGTATGTGAAAATTGATGCATGTCCCAATGATTGCATGATCTATTGGAAAGATACTTCGGAATTGACCGTGTGCTCGGTTTGTGGTGAATCAAGATATAAAAGTACCAACGCAGCAGATAGGTCGAGAAAAAAAATCGCAGCTAAGGTTATGTGGTATTTTCCTTTAAAACCAAGATTGCAACGATTTTTTATGTCGAAGCATACAGCTGAACATATGAGGTGGCATGCAATTGAATGTCCTAAAGATGAGTTTATGAGACATCCTTCAGATTCTCCAGCATGGAAGCATTTGGATAATTTATATCCGGATTTTGCGTCAGAAATTCGAAATGTCCGATTAGGGTTGGCCAGTGATGGATTTAATCCTTTTGGAAAAATGAGGAATGACCATAGCACATGGCCTGTGGTGCTTTCTGTTTACAATTTGCCGCCTTGGATGTGCATAAAGCAACCAAATTTGTTGTTGTCTCTTTTAATACCAGGACCGCGCAGTCCTGGTAAAGAGATTGATGTATACATGTGTCCACTGATTGACGAGTTGAATGAGTTGTGGGAGGTGGGCACTCCAACTTATGATGCGTATTCCAACCAAAGTTTTACAATGAAAGCTGCTCTTATGGACTATAAGTGATTTTCCGACTTATGGAATGTTGTCAGGATGGAGTACACATGGCTATAAAGCCTGTCCACATTGCATGCATGATAAAGAATCTATTTACTTGCCGGCGAGTCGTAAAATTTGTTATATGGGGCATCGACGCTTTCTTGAAGATAATCATAGGTTTCGAAGGCAAACCATAGCTTTTAATGGTCGTCGAGAGCATCGTAGTGCACCAAGGCAGTGGACTGGTTTACAATGTCTCGAAGAACTTTCTACATTGAGATTTACTTTTGGAAAACCAAAGAAAAATGCTTCAGTTGGGCAACGCAGAAAAAGAACTTCGAGCAGTACAAGTGGTAACAGTCAGTGGAAGAAGAAAAATCTATTTTTTTATGAACTACCTTATTGGAGGCATCTATTGATTAGACACAATCTTGATGTTATGCATATCGAGAAGAATATATGTGACAGTGTGGTGGGAACATTGCTAGGTATAGAAAAGTCTAAAGATGGATTGGCTGCACGTGCAGATCTTGAAGTCTTGAACATAAGACGCAGTCAACACCCACGTAGAGAAGGAAATAGAACATTTCTACCTCCAGCTTTGTTCACGTTGAAAAGAGAAGAAAAAACTGCGTTTTGCAATGTGTTGTCTACTATTCGGGTCCCCGATGGATATTCATCAAATTTATCGCGATGTGTGCACGTGAATGAACGAAAAATACATGGGTTGAAAAGTCATGATTGCCATGTTTTAATACAGCAATTACTCCCGCTTGCAATACGCCCGGTTTTTCCTGAAGCTGTTACTATGGTATTATTAGAGTTGAGTGCAATTTTCAGACAGTTGTGTAGTAAGAAGGAGTCTGAGGAAGGATTCAAGGAACTGAGTTCAAGAATTGCCTTGACATTATGTCAACTTGAAAAAATATTTCCTCCTGCATTTTTTGATATAATGGTGCACCTTTCAGTTCACTTGGCAGATGAAGCAGCTCTTGCAGGGCCTGTTCCCTATAGATGGATGTATCCAATTGAACGGTAATTAATAAATTTTTATAAATTTTTTACAATTGTAGTCATAACTTTAATTTATAATTATAATTGTTTGTGTTTCGTTTATAATTATAGGTATTTGCAAACGTTGAAGCGATATGTTCGTAATAAGGGTCGTCCTGAAGGTTCTATTGCTGAAGCATATTTGGTGGATGAGTGCTTGTCCTTCTGTTCCATGTATCTTAGAGGTGTTGAGTCTCGTCGTACCCGTAGAGGCCGAAATGAAGATGGTATTGGACGTGGAGTGTCTGGTGGGTCAATTTTTTACTCTAAAGGATGTTATATGGGTTCAGGAGAACATGTGGAGCTCGATCTAAATGCTCTTGATCAGTGCCATAGATACATTTTAAATAATTGTGATGAAGTGAACCCATTTAGAAGGTAAGAACGTTTAATCATACGTCTTAATGTTTTATTGATTTTCTTAACTTTGAAAAATTAATTATCTAAATTTGGACATAATTGTGTAGCCAACATGAGGAATTCTTGAAAACTAAACATCGTCGAGAAGGTTAACTATGCGACAAATTAAGGAGCTAAGCAAGAAAGAATTTCCAGAATGGTTCAAGCAACATGTGAGTTGATATAACAATCACATTATTTATTTATTGTTATGCATTTTAATTATAACGTGTCATAGTTATTCTGTCAATTTTTATCTTCATACTTATTACAGATGAATTCAAGCTATCATGCTAATGACACGTTGATATCTCAAGACTTGCATTGGCTAGCTAATTATCCTAGTAGGGTTGTGGGTAGATATAAAAGTCACATTGTTCATGGGTTTAGATTTCGTATAAATTATGTGGATGATAAACATAAGAATCAAAATTGTGGTGTCTTTGTACCTGCAAATGTTCCTGGAGCAATCGGGCAAGTGAATTGTTATGGCAGAGTTGTGGATATGTTCGAGGTTAAATATTGTGGTCCTACTGAGGCAGGAGATAGGGGTCGAGCTGTGATGTTATTTAAGTGCGAATGGGTTAACAGTGAAAGTCCACGAGGAATGAAGACCGATCAATATGGATTTACTATGGTGAATTTCAATCAATTGGGATTTAAAGAGGATCCTTTCATACTAGCATCACAAGCATTACAAGCATTTTACGTGGAGGACACAATTGAAAAAGATTGGCACGTAGTTGTTCGAACCCAGCCGAGGGATTTGTTTGACGTACTAGAGGATAGTGATGCTATTGATGATTATGCCATACTGAACTTGGATGATCGAATTCTTGATAATGAAAATTTTCATACAAGGGTTGGCGTGGAAGAGACTCCTTTTCTTGAATCATTAGCGTTGCCTACCGAGTTCGTTAATCATGCCAATGTCGACGATGAGCTAACAGATGATGATGGAGAATAAATATGTTACTTCTTTTATGTATTAATTATACTATCTTTCATTTCGTATGTTATGATATCTTATTATAAAATTATATTTCTATTTTTTATTAAGTATTATATATAAGTTAAATCTTTTTTATTTATGTTTTTTATTAAGTATTATATATAAGTTAAACCTTTTTTTTAAATATTGGGTTATATTTTTTTTTTTTTTAGCTAGTTTCCTGTCGCTTTTAACCGACGTCGGTTTAATTGAAATATTTTGGGCGGCACTTTTCTCGGTTTTTTTCATTCACTTGGCGTCGGTTTTAACCGACGCAATGAATGCTTATTTCGACACAGACTGTCATCTAGGCGTCGGTTTTAACCGACGCAACCTAAGATTATTTCAACGCAATGAAAGCTTAATTCGACACAGACTGTCATGTTACGTCGATTTTATCCGACGCAATGTTAGCCTATTTCTGTTTTTTATTAAGTATTATATATAAGTTAAACCTTTTTTTTTTAATATTGGGTTATATTTTAACTCCGATTTTGATGATTTTTTATATGTACACTCCTTCACCCTATATGAATGTAGTGAATGAATGTATGAATAAACTCTTTAAGTGTTAGTGAATCTATTGTTTTGATGGAATACGAATTGTACGAAACTAATTTCGATGATCGAACCGTCAAACATGTTTGTATATAATTCGAGATCGCATACGCCAAAAATTGCAAAAAAAAACCTTCTGAGACAAAGTAACGGGAAAAACATATTCGACGGTTATTAACGAAAAATCACGAACTAACGGTTATTTTAACTCTGATTTTGATGATTTTTTATATGTACACTCCTTCACCCTATATGAATGCAGTGAATGAATGCGATCTTCAATTTGAAATATTTACACTAGTGGATATCACAAAATCTTGTGTTGCACTTAATGAATGTATGAATAAACTCTTTAAGTGTTAGTGAATCTATCGTTTTGATGGAATACGAATTCTACAAAACTAATTTCGACGATCGAACCGTCAAACATGTTTGTATATAATTCGAGATCGCATACGCCAAAAATTGCAAAAAAAAACCTTCTGAGACAAAGTAACGGGAAAAACTTATTCGACGGTTATTAACGAAAAATCACGATCTAACGGTTATTTTAACTCCGATTTTGATGATTTTTTATATGTACACTCCTTCACCCTATATGAATGCAGTGAATGAATGCGATCTTCAATTTGAAATATTTACACTAGTGGATATCACAAAATCTTGTGTTGCACTAAATGAATGTATGAATAAACTCTTTAAGTGTTAGTGAATCTATCGTTTTGATGGAATACGAATTCTACGAAACTAATTTCGACGATCGAACCGTCAAACATGTTTGTATATAATTCAAGATCGCATACGCCAAAAATTGCAAAAAAAAAACCTTCTGAGACAAAGTAACGGGAAAAACTTATTCGACGGTTATTAACGAAAAATCACGATCTAACGGTTATTTTAACTCCGATTTTGATGATTTTTTATATGTACACTCCTTCACCCTATATGAATGCAGTGAATGAATGCGATCTTCAATTTGAAATATTTACACTAGTGGATATCACAAAATCTTGTGTTGCACTTAATGAATGTATGAATAAACTCTTTAAGTGTTAGTGAATCTATCGTTTTGATGGAATACGAATTCTACGAAACCAATTTTGACGATCGAACCGTCAAACATGTTTGTATATAATTCGAGATCGCATACGCCAAAAATTGCAAAAAAAAACCTTCTGAGACAAAGTAACGGGAAAAACTTATTCGACGGTTATTAACGAAAAATCACAATCTAACGGTTATTTTAACTCCGATTTTGATGATTTTTTATATGAACACTCCTTCACCCTATATGAATGCAGTGAATGAATGCGATCTTCAATTTGAAATATTTACACTAGTGGATATCACAAAATCTTGTGTTGCACTTAATGAATGTATGAATAAACTCTTTAAGTGTTAGTGAATCTATCGTTTTGATGGAATACGAATTCTACGAAACCAATTTCGACGATCGAACCGTCAAACATGTTTGTATATAATTCGAGATCGCATACGCCAAAAATTACAAAAAAAAACCTTCTGAGACAAAGTAACGGGAAAAACTTATTCGACGGTTATTAACGAAAAATCACGATCTAACGGTTATTGTAACTCCGATTTTGATGATTTTTTATATGTACACTCCTTCACCCTATATGAATGCAGTGAATGAATGCGATCTTCAATTTGAAATATTTACACTAGTGGATATCATAAAATCTTGTGTTGTATTTAATGAATGTATGAATAAACTCTTTAAGTGTTAGTGAATCTATTGTTTTGATGGAATACGAATTGTACGAAACTAATTTCAACGATCGAACCGTCAAACATGTTTGTATATAATTCGAGATGGCATACGCCAAAAATTACAAAAAAAAAACCTTCTGAGACAAAGTAACGGGAAAAACTTATTCGACGGTTATTAACGAAAAATCACGATCTAACGGTTATTTTAACTCCGATTTTGATGATTTTTTATATGTACACTCCTTCACCCTATATGAATGCAGTGAATGAATGCGATCTTCAATTTGAAATATTTACACTAGTGGATATCACAAAATCTTGTGTTGCACTTAATGAATGTATGAATAAACTCTTTAAGTGTTAGTGAATCTATCGTTTTGATGGAATACGAATTTTACGAAACTAAATTCGACGATCGAACCGTCAAACATGTTTGTATATAATTCGAGATCGTATACGCCAAAAATTGCAAAAAAAAAACCTTCTGAGACAAAGTAACGGGAAAAACTTATTCGACGGTTATTAACGAAAAATCACGATCTAACGGTTATTTTAACTCCGATTTTGATGATTTTTTATATGTACACTCCTTCACCCTATATGAATGCAGTGAATGAATGCGATCTTCAATTTGAAATATTTACACTAGTGGATATCACAAAATCTTGTGTTGCACTTAATGAATGTATGAATACACTCTTTAAGTGTTAGTGAATCTATCGTTTTGATGGAATACGAATTCTACGAAACTAATTTCGACGATCGAACCGTCAAACATGTTTGTATATAATTCGAGATCGCATAATTTTGTATGTTAATATGATGTTTATATGTGTATATAATTCAAGATCGAAACAACAAATTCTAGTTTTGCAAATTTAGGCCCCAAACTCCAAATTCTAGTGTTTATTAGGGATCTCGAATTATATACAAATTTAGGTCCCAAACTCCAAATTCTAGATCGAACCGTCAAACATGTTATATTTCATAATTGTATGTTAATATGATGTTTATATGTTTTTATAATTTAATACAACAAATTATTTGCATAAGAAAAAGTCATTTTGAACGAATTATGATAAGATAAGATAGGATGTTTGTGGTGATTTGAGAATATTTATCATATTATTTTATGAACTAGTTGGTCAATTATTTACAATAAAAATCAAAATTTTAATTAAAAATTAACAGAAGAATGTTTTATCAAAAGTTTCAAAGTTATAGATGTTTGATTAAAAAAATTCAAATTTAAGGCATCTATATCAAAATGATCCTAAAATTATATTTCTGTTTTTTATTAAGTATTATGTATAAGTTAAATTTTATATATTAAAATATTATATGAAATAACATAATTGCTCATTTTTTTTTCTGGGTTAAATTTTTTTTTTTTTTCTCTTGCGTTTCAAATTTTTTTTTTAGTTAAACTCTTTTTCTTTTTATGTTGGGCGGGAATTTTCCCGCTTTTTTTTGCACGGGGAAATGAATTGGAATAATAAATGGATGTGCGAATGAACCGAGGCATCGAAATAATAAATGGTTGCGTAGCGTCGGTTTAAACCGACGCAACTACTTATTATTTCGACGCAACCACTTATTATTTCGACGTCACATTTTACGCGTCGGTTTAAACCGACGCAATAACTTATTATTTCGACGCAAGCATTTATTAATTCGATGCCTCGGTTCATTCGCACGTCCAATTCCGAGGCCACTGCAATTACTGTGTGTCAGAATAACGTCGGTTCAAACCGACTCAATTGTCTTCTATTTCGACGCTAGCCAAATCTGTCAGACTAGCGTCGGTTTAAAGCGACGCAATACGACCTTATTTCGACGCAATACGCAAATCTGTCAGACTAGCGTCGGTTTAAAGCGACGCAATACGACCTTATTTCGACGCCAATATCGTTGCAGTCAAAACTGTGTCAGATGTTGTGTCGGTTTGAAGCGACGTAAGGTTTGTATATTTCGACGCTAATTTTTTTAGCATATTTAAGCTTGTACGACCTATTTCATTTGCTCTCTCTCATTTCACTCCGCTTACTCCCTCATTTCACTCCCTTTCCTTCCCCATCTTCTGTAATCCGCATTTCTTCCATATTATTAACGCTATGGATGGTAGTAGTGATCATGAACGCTATGAGGAACTTCATGTGGAAGGGGAGGAGGTCGAAGCTGGTTATTTTTCTATTTTTTTATTATTGTCGTTTTTTTTTTGGGTGTTTAATCTTCTATTATTCTTATAAACTGAAAATTTACATTTGTTTCCTACTTTTTTGGTGTGTTTTAATCGTGGTTTTTGTATGAACAAGGAAGATCTCAACGGAGGCGAGGACCCTCAGTTCCAAAATGGACGAAACAGCTTTGTTCGTTTGATATGTCCGGAAAATGCATTAGTGATAATTCTAGTGCATTTTCAAAATATGTGGCATCGGAGGTTAGAGACCACATAAATCTCCCATTGGCGAAGCATTGGCGTAAGATTAAGGATGTAGATAAGGAAGCTTTCTGGAATAGAATTAAGGTAGAGATATTTTTATTTTTATTAGAATATAAAAGAATAATTCAATGATTGTTATAATATTTGACTTGGTTGATTTTTTATTTTTTTATGGATGTAGGGAATATTGTTTTTGAAGATGCAGATATACCAAAAATGCCTTTGATCCGGTTTATGACGCTTA